AGAGAGAGAGAGAGAGAGAGAGAGAGAGAGAGATCTCACATCTTGTTTATCCATTCATCTACCAAATGACACTTGGACTGCTTCCATAATTTGGCTGTTGTAAATAATTCTGTGAGCATATGGATACATGTCTGTATGCCTTTGAATTAGTGTTTTTCTATTCTTTGGGTAAATACCTAGTAGTGTAATTGGTATTATTAACTTTTTGAGGAACTTCCATACTGTTTTCCACTGTGGCTGCACCAGTTTGTTTTCCCACCAACAGTGCAGCAGGACTCTTGTCCCCACATCCTTACCAACACTAGTTTTTCTTGTGTTGTTTATTTTAGCCATTCTTTTTTTTTTTAATTAAAAAAAATTTAAATAAATATTTTTAATATAATATTTTAAATATTTAAATACTTAAATATTCAATATTAATATTAATAGTTAATTAATCTCTAATATTTTAATAATATATTTATATAAATATATTTAAAATATTTAAATATTATATATTTATATTTAAATATTTTAAATATTTATAATATTTAAATTAATATTTAATATTAATATCTAATAATATTTAAGTATTTAAATATTTGATAATAAAAATATTAAAATATTTTAATATAATAAATTTAAAATAAATATTTTAAATAAATTTTTTTTTAATGTTTATTTTTGAGAGAGAGAGAGAGAGAGAGAGAGAGAGCGAGCAGGGAGTGGCCGAGAGAGAGGGAGACACAGAATCCGAAGCAGGCTTTAGGCTCCGAGCTGTCAGCACAGAGCCCAACACAGGGTTTGAGCCCACAAACTGTGAGATCGTGACCTGAGCTGAAGTTGGATGCTCAACCAACTGAGCCACCTGGGCACCCCTGATTTTAGCTATTCTGACAGAGGAAAGATAATATCTCACTGTAGTTTTGATTTGCATTTCCCTAATGATGAGTGATGTTGACCTTCTTTTCTTGTCTATTGGTTGTCTCTATGTCTTCTTTGGAAAATGTCTGTTCATATCTTCTGAATATTTTTTAACTGGGTTATTTGTTTTTTGGGTGTTGAACTTTATAAGTTCTTTATATATTTTGGGTACTAACCCTTTATCAAATAAGTCATTTGAAAATACCTTCTCCCATTCTAAAAGTTGCCTTTTAGTTTTATGATAGTTTCCTTTGCTGTGCGGTTTTGCATTTTGATGAAGCCCAGTTTATTTTTTGCTTTTGTTTCCCTTGCCTCAGGAGTCATATCTTGAAAAATGTTCCTACAGCCAGTGTCAGAGACCTTACTGCCTGTGCTCTATTTTAGGATTTTTATGCATTTAGGTCTCACGTTTAGGTTTTCTATCCATTTTGAATATTTTTGTGTGTTGTGTAAGAAAGTGGTCAAGGTTTATTCTTTTGCATGTCGCTGTCCAGTTTTCCCAACACCATTTGTTGAAGAGACTTCTTCCCATTGGATATTTGTTCCTGCTTTGTTCAAGATTTATTGACCATATAATTTGGGGTTTATTTCTGGGTTTTTTATTTTGTTCCATTTATCTATATTTCATTTTTGTGTCAGTAGCATCCTGTTTTCATTACTACAGCTTTGTAATATGCCTTGATGTCTGGAATTGTAATGCTTTACCTCTCATTTTCAAGATTGGTCTGGCTATTTGGGTTCCTTGTGGTTCCATACAAATTTTAGGATTATTTGTTGTAGTTCTCTGAAAAATGCTGGTGGCATTTTGATAGGGATTCCATTAAATGTGTAGGTTGCTTTGCATAGTATAGACATTTTAACAGTATTTGTGTTTCCAATCCATGAACATGGAATGTCTTTCCATTTCTTTGTGTCCTCTTCAGCTTCATTCATCAGTGTTTTATAGTTTTCAGAGTATAGATCTTTTGCCTCTTTGGTTAGGTTTATTCCTAGTTATCTTACTGTTTTTGGTGCAATTGTAAATGGGATTGTTTTCTTTATTTCTGTTTCTGCTGCTTTGTTATTGGTGTATAGAAATGCAACAGATTTTTGTATGTTGATTTTGTATCCTGTGACTTCAGTGAATTCATTTGTCAGTTCTAGTAGTTTTTTGGTGGAATCTGTTGGGTTTTCTATAGTATGTCATCTGCAGATAGTGAACATTTTACCTTTTCTTTGCCAATTTGGATGCCCTTTGTTTCTTTTTGTTGTCTCATTGCTGTGGCTAGCACTTTCAGTTTTATGTTGAATAAAAGTGGTGAGAATAGACATTCTCATGTGGCTGTTGGTAGGTAGCATATAGATCAGTCCTATTTTTTTTTATCCATTTTGTCCTTTTGTGTCTTTTGGTTGAAGCATTTTGTCCAGTTACATTCAAAGTAATTGTTGATAGATAATGTATTTATTGTCATCTTATTATTTGTTTTGTGATTGTTTCTGAAGATTTTCTCTGATCATTTCTTGTTTTTTGTCTCTTTCTTGTTTTTCTGATTTTCTTTAATATATTTGGATTTCTTTCTCTGTATTCTTTGCATGTTTATTGGTGGTTTTTGATACATGGTTATCATTAGGTTTGTTATAGCCTCTTCCGCATATCACAGTCTATATTGAGTTGATGGTCATTTAAGTTCAAACCAATTGTTTCCTGCTCTCTTCCACATATTTTCTGTATATGGTGCCATATTTTATATCCTTTTATTTGTTCGTTTACTGATGTTTTACAGTGATGTTCATTTTTAATGCTTTTGTGTTTTCTACTTTTATACTGTTATGTTTTCTCTCCTTTCAACTCAAAAGAGTCCCCTTTAATTTTCTTATAGGGATGGTTTGTTGGTCATTAAACTCCTACAGTTTTTGTTTGTCTGGGAAACTCTGTTTCTCTTTCTATTCTGAATGGTAGCCTTTCTGGACAGAGCATTTTTGGCTACAGATTTTTCCCATTCAGAACCTTGAAAATTTCATGCCAGCCCCTTCTGGCCTGCAACATTTCTTCTCAAAAGGCTGTTAATAGCCTTACGGGTTTTCCTTTGTATGTCACTGTTGTCTTTTGTCTTGCTGCTTTGAAAAGTTGGGTTTTTTCCACTATATTTTGCCAATTTAATTAGAATATGTTTTGGTGTGGGTCTGCTTTTGTTCATTTTGTTGGGAGTTCTCTGTGCTTCCTTGATCTGGATATCTGCTTCCTTCCCCAAATTAAGGAAGCTTGCAGCTATTATTTTTACAAATAAATTTTCTGCCCTCTTTTCTCTGTCATCTTCTTTTGCGGGTTATATAAATACAAATGTTATTAATGTTTGAGGGAGTCACTGATTTCCCTAATTTTGTTCTTATTTTGCATAATTCTTTTATCTCTCTTTTGTTTAACGTGATTACTTTCCATTACTCTGTCCTCTAGGTCATTAATTCATTCCTGTGCTTCTTCCATTCTGCTCTTCATTCCAGGGAGCCTATTGTTTATTGAGAGTTTTATCTCTGCTGTGTTATTCTTTATCTCTCTGGTAAGGGTCTCACTCATGTCTTCCTCTCTTTTCACAAGTCCAGTGAATATCCTTTTATCGTTACTTTAAATTCTCTCTTAGGTTAATTACTTATATCTGTTTCACTTAGATCTCTGGCCTTAGCCTTATTTTGTTCTTTCATCTGGGATAAATTTCTCTGTCTTCTCATTTTGTCTGTGTCTCTGTGCCTGTTTCACTGTGTTAGAAAAGTAAGCTACATCTCCTGTTCTTTAGGGTAATGGCCTTATGAAGAAGAGGTCCTGTAGTTCTGTGCCATATAGTGTCCCATGTTCCCCAGGGTCTGTTGCTTCTGGGACTAACTCCAATGGGTGCTGCGTGTGCTTTGCTGTTTTGTCCTGGCTGCTTTATTCTTCAGGCCACTTGTCTGCAGAGGCTCTCTTTATCTTAGCAGTGTTTGGTCCATGGTCTGAATATGGTGAGTTTTAACTAGGTGTGCTCTGGTCTGCTTGTGGAATGAGAACTGTTGTAACTGCTGCTAAAACAAGACCATGAAAACTCCTTGGTCAGGGGACTTGGTGTGAACAGGGATTTGGGCTGGTCTGGGGGTGACTTGGAGGGGTGCTTCCAGTGGAGTGCTGTTGTTGGGGGCTTATTGTAAATAAGTTAGGTAGGGAGTGCCAGTGCTTATGCTCAGGGTTAGGACAGAGAAATGGTGCTGGCCAGTTTTTTTGTTCCTGGAGGGGTCTCTTGGTGAGTGCTGGGATGTGGTTTGAGATAAGCATATATCTTCCCCACTGTGTGCTCCAGTTGCTCTTTAATTCATTCTTTCCATGTTGTATGCCCACGGGCTGTTTGCCTTCTCTTCAAGAGAAGCAGCAGTGTCTTCAGGGCTCCATTTTAACAATGACTGCTGACCTTTAAAACTTAAGCCCCGCTTTTTTCAAGAACTCATGAAATTCAGCCCCTCCCTTTCTAAGCCAGTTGCTGTGGGTTTCATTTTCCCTGTCTGCTTTACTGTGTGATATTCTGCCCCTTACCCTTCTCCGTAACCATGGCTCCCTCCCTGCCACAGCGACCATGATCCTTTTCTGCCCTAAACTGCATCTCCACACTTCCTACTTTCTTCGATGTGGCCTCTTCTTTACCTTTAGTTGTAGAATTTATCCTGCCAGGCTTTTGGTCAGTTTCGTGGGTATTTATGATGATTTGATAGTTATCTAGTTGTATTTGTGGGATAAGGCAAGCTTAGGGTCCTTGTACTCTGCTTCGATCTTCCCAAGGTATCAAGTTAGAACACTTGAAAATAGAAAAGTACTGCATAGCAGAATTCTCTTCTGAATGGGTGATGGTAGCTTCTGAACATTTGTGGGGATAGACGTTGTGTGGAGACCAGCAACTTCGTCATAGTTTTGGTATGGTTACTTCTTATATTCATATTATTATTATTATTATTGATCATAGGATCATGAAGCTTTAAGGTTAGAAGAACCTTATATATTATGTAGTCAAACTCCATCTTTTTATATATTATAATATCTCTTTCCATGTACTTTGCCTTGTTTGGACATTGTGAGCTTTGATTGGTTGCTTTATTGTTTAAAGGTAGAAGAAAACCAAGTTATTAAATCGTAAGATTGTTTCATTTATTTTAACTTTTTTACTGGTATTTTAGTTGAAGATGGTAACTTAATTTGGTTTTTTGTAGGTGGTAAGTTTTCTTCATACGGTTCTTTTGTGTGACAAATTGGATTTCAGCACAGCTTTAGTGGTTTGTCCTCTTAATACCGCTTTGAATTGGATGAATGAATTTGAAAAGTGGCAGGAAGGATTAAAAGATGATGAGAAGCTTGAGGTATTATATTTTAAATATTTTCTCTTATTAAAATAACTGCAAGAAATTCATATAGTAAAAGAAAAGGATTTTTAATTATTAAGGATGCATGTTTACATGGGAATAAGTAGTATTCCTACATTCCTAATAGCTACCTTTAAAAATCTTTATTTTCTCACAAAAGGTCTCTGAATTAGCAACTGTGAAACGTCCTCAAGAGAGAAGCTACATGCTGCAGAGGTGGCAAGAAGATGGTGGTGTTATGATCATAGGCTATGAGATGTACAGAAATCTTGCTCAAGGAAGGAATGTGAAGAGTAGGAAACTTAAGGAAATCTTTAACAAAGCTTTGGTTGATCCAGGTAATATATTAAGAGACACTGAGATAAATAAGTTGAATAAAAAATTGCTGATGTTCGGTTTAACAGGTAACTACTTTATTGAGCAACTGGTAAGTAGCTGGTTTTTGTTTATCCTTCAGGTTTTTTCCTTCTTTTTTTTTTCTTAGTAAAATTTTATTAAGGTGATAGCACCCTTACTGTTGCCAGCTGTTCAGAATTCAGTTGTTGAGTCTGGAAGTATTTGAAGTTTTTATGGGAGATCTTGTTAATAAGTAAAATTACATTAGGTACCTATGTCACAATTGCATTTTCTTCCAGCTGTCTGAATATTAGATGATAACAAGACCTCTCTCCATACTCTGAAAACAGTTCTTAAGTTTCTTTCCCAACTTTATATCATTAGAAGAATTGCTACATGGTCCCCCCCACTATGTTTTGAAGTGTCATCACTATGGAAAGTTAATATTTGCAACACTGTCTAACCTTAGGACATTAAGATCCAAATATTTAATTCTTAATTGGCACTTGGAAAAGCAGCAAGTTGTACTATTTGCAAAACTAATTACTTTTTAAAATTTTTTTTTATCTTTTTATTTATTTTTGAGAGAGAGAGAGAGAGAGAGAAACAGAGAAACAGAGTGCAAGGTGGGGAGGGTCAGAGAGAGAGAGGGAGACACAGAATCCAAAGCAGGCTCCAGGCTCCGAGCTGTCAGCACAGAGCCTGATGCGGGGCTCGAACTCAAAAACTGCGAGATCATGACCCGAGCCAAAGTCAGACACTCAACCGACTGAGCCACCCAGGTGCCCCACAAAATGAATTAATTTTTAATTATTTGTTTTTTCCTTTTTAAACTTTATCTTAACATATCTAATTACATTAAGACACTTATTGAGGCTTTAGATGTGTGTTGAGAAAATGTAATTTTCACTGTCAGAATAACAGTATTCTTTAGAATCCATCACTTTACCTTTTTTTCATTTATTTTTTTATATTATATTCTTTTCACATTTTTTTCAGGTGTAATTCACAGAATTGTAAGATACTTAAATTATTCAATGTGATGATTTGACATATAAATACATTTGGAAGTGTTACCAAGAGTTAGATGGAAAAGGAAAGTGGCTTGCTATTCTCGCTGCCACATTAAATAATTACAGAGCAGTGAAACGAAAGAAAAGCAGAGCAAAGTTTTATTAAAGTACACTCCAAGGGAGAAGCTGGCAACTCCAGAGAGACTGAGGCCCTGAAACTCCTCAGTGTGGGCTTATATCAGTTTTTTCTTTTGGGTAGTTCCTAGGTTTGCAACATTTGAGTGACAGGCCTGGATTATATAATAATTAGCCAACTGTGCATGTCCTTTCCCAATATGTATTTGAAACACCTTTATGGGGTAGGAAACCACAGCATTATTTCTATTCTAGAGACATAGGTCAAATAAGGACAAGCAGCTGCTTTCTGCAAAAGTGCAACACGCACAACAAACTTAACTCTTCCTCTGTTGGGATGTTGTAATTGCAAACTGACTGTTACATGGGTGGAATAGGGTGGTCCCTGGGTGGTCCTCGGTTGGGGCTCTCCATCAAGACGTCTAAGGTCCATACTCCTGTTGCCCATTAGCTTCCTGCCTAACAGAAGGATTCACCACTTTGAGTTACACATCTATGACCTCACATATTTACTCACCCCATTTTTTTTTTTTTTTTTTTTTTGGTGAGAGCATTTAAGTTTTACTCTTTTAGCAAATTTTAATTCTACAATTAAATTTAGTGTTATCAGCTATACTCACCATGTTATACATTAAATTCTCAGACCTTATTAATCTTAGAACTAAATGTTTGTACTGTTTTGCCTCTTTTTTTAGGTAATGATGTAACTAACATGCACCAAAGTAACATTGCCATTGTAAATCTAAGGCTCAATGAGTCTATCTTTCTCCCGTGATTAAAATATTTGTCTAAAAGTTCTGTGGTGGTTTTATTGTTAGAGAACTTTAAGCTAGTGAATAGTATTGCAACATATTTTTCAGAAAGTTGCTTTGGAATAGTTAAAACAACAGTGTCCAAACGCTTAATATTGTGATTTGTTCATGAGGAAATACATTTAAAAAAATTAAAGCTCATAATGTGAAGAGTAACATTTGTTATTTCCATGTAAATCATTTAGTGACATTTTAAACATGTTTTACTTTAGAATAATTTTTTACAGAAAACTTGAAGTGATAGTAAAAAAAAGCTCCCATATTCCCTACATCCAGATTTCCCGCTGTTAACAGCTTGTATTGCCATGGTAGATTTGTCAAAACTAAGAAATTGATACAGTGTTGGTTTATTGTTAACTAAACACCAAACTATATTTGAATTTGACCATTTTTCTTGTTTGCATTCTATTCCAGGATCTGATCCAGGGTATACCACATTGCATTTAATTGGCTTGTCTTCACAGTTTTGTCTGGTCTATGACAATTTCTATCTTTATTTTTCATTATCTTGTTAGTCTTGAGTACTGTGCAAGTATCCTATTTTATGTTCACTAGTGTGTATTTGTTGTTTTTCTTGTAATTAGTTTGGAGTTACAGGTTTTTGAAAAAATTTACCAGAGGTGAAACACCCTTCTTATCACAATCATATCAGGAGTACATTAGAATGACATGACATTACTGGATCTGCTATTTTTACCTGTCCCTGTTCTTTGGAAGTCAGTCACAAAGTCTAGCTTACCCAAGTTAGGGGAAGGCTGGGATTAAGCTCTGTCTCCCTTAGTGGCCAGTATCTACACATAAAATTTGGAAGTTTTCTTTAAGAAATATTTGTCCTTTCCTTTTTATATAATCAATCATTGATTTATAGCAGTATAGACTAATAATCTATTATTAGTTTATATTTTAGACTGTAATGTTATTTTGCTGTTCAAATTGTTACTATTTGGCCATTGGGAGCTCTTTCACATTTGTAGATTGGTTCGTGTATCCCTTTGATATTTCATTCTTTTTGTTGTTGTTTTAAGCACTTCATTACTTTCTGGTACTATAAGGTATTCCAGGCTCATGTTATATTGTCTCTGCCCCCTACCCCAGAATTAACCATTTCAGTAATGTGCCATGGTTTCTCTTATTGTAAAATAGTGTTTACAAACCAAGATCTGGTGCTTAGTCGTGTTTGTTACTACTGGAGTATCATTGCTTTTAAGTCCTCTAAGCAGACAGAACTAGGTGATATGTGTACTAATCTATGTCTATGCACAAATCTATCCCTTTGTGTGTGTGTATAGAGATAAATTTGATTTTGTAATGGTGTCTTTGACTCTAATCCAGTGTCATAGGGTTCAGTTTCACCTTCATCGTTAATCTGTTACTTGTCTTTCCAACTATGGGAATTCTGGCTCCAGCCACCTGCCATCCGTTTATTTGTTCAGTTTCATTACACACTAAAGTAATTTCAGAATTGTTAACCATATTGTTTCACAGTTGTTTCTATGTGAGAAACAGATTTAACCACTATAGTACAGTGTTTTTGATTGTTTTTGTCTATAGTTTAATAATTTATAGTTAAAACGTTATTTTCTAAAGTCACTTAGGTTAGTTTCTGTGTTTTATTATTTGTACACATGAAAGTATATACTTTGTAATGTAGAGTTTAATGGGTTTTGACAAATGAATAGAGTTATCTCTTTATAACCTCATTACTAGCTTTTTGTTGTTGTTTAATTCATAGTACAGTTAACGTTAAGTCACACTAAGCATTTATTCATTGTGGTAGCTTTAGTATTAATCTACATTATCTCATTTTAATTTAATGACTAGAGTTTGTTGTGGTAAAAATACACATAACATAAAATCCATTTAACCATGTTAAAGTATAATTCAGTGGCATTTAGTATATTTACGGTGTTATGTAACTATCACAACTATTTTGTTGAACCCTACAGCATTTTCATTTACCTCAAAAAGAAATTTTGTACCCATTAGCAGTCACTTTCAAATGCCCTATCACCTGGAAACTACCAACATATTTTTTGTCTCAGTGGATTTGCCTTTTGTGGAGATTTCATAAAAATATTTCTGGACATTTTATAAAAGTGAAATCATACAATATCTGACTTCTTTCAGTTAGCATAAGGCTTTCAAGCTTTATTTGGTTTGTAGCATGTTATCAGTACTTCAGTCCTTTATATATACACACAATATTAATTCAAGGTACTATTTGATTTAAACAATAAAATAGACCTAGGTAATTAAATAAAATAATGACAGATTTCCATGGTGTATTGAACTATTTCACTCAGGCTTGATTTTTGAACAGAAGAACTTTTCTTCAAGCCTCTTGCTATATCCCTTTTCAGAACTGCATGACTGCATTCTCCCTTTATTTTTTCTATTATGATTTCTAAATATAGCTGTTTTCACATCCTACCACTTCATTCATAGATCATTGGAATGAGGTTTTCCAGAAAGTAGATATTCAGGATTATTAAACTTATGCAGAGAGAGAGGGAGACAGAGAATCTCAGGCAGGCTCTGCACTGCCAGTGCGTAGCCCGATGCAGGGCCTCGAACTCAAGAACTGTGAGATCATGACCTGAGCCCAAATCAAAAGTCGGACACTTAAGCGACTGAGCCACCCAGGCCCCCTAAAACTTCTTAAGATTTTAAAACTTTTTTATGTTAGAATGTGATGTACATTCCTATCTTTGTAAACAGAATATGAATAACATCTTTTAGCTTTTTTGTTGATTCAGGGTTATTCATGAGTATATTTGCTTTTATTCTGTCTTCCTACTCTTATTCGCTCAGATAGCCCTACTAAGGAAAGGGCCCCCTTGCCTTCCATTGCCACACTAATAAATAGTTCTTTTTAAGTTAAATTATAAAAGCAATATATGTTCTTAAGCAAAATACAAACAGAAGGAAAAGGTATATATTAAAAAATAAAAGTTCATCCGTCCGTGGACACTTAGGTTGTTTTTCCATGTCTTGGCTGAACGTGGGAGTGCAGATATCTCTTTGAGATAATGATTTTGTTTCCTTGGATATATACCCAGAATTAGAAATGCTGTTTCATATGGTAATTCTACTTTTCAATTTTAGAGGAACCTTCATAGTGCCTGCACCGATTTACCTTCTTACCAATGGTGCACAAGCGTTCCCTTCTCTTTACATCCTCACCAACAGTTGTTATCTCTTGTCTTTTTGAGAATAGTCATTCTAACAGGTATGAGGTGATATCTCATTGTGGTTTTGATTTGCATTTTCCTAGTGATTAGTGATGTTGAGGTCTTTTTTGTGTACCTGTTGCCCATTTGCATGTCTTCTTTGGGTCCTCTGCCCATTTTTAAAGAAGATTGTGTGGGTGTTTTTTCAGGCATGTTTTTTATATTGCAGTGTTTAGAGTCCCAAGGCCACTCTCAGGTTCAGTAATTAACTAGAACTCATGGAACTCAGAAAAGCTGTGTTGGTTATTACAGTGAAAGGATACAAATTAAAATCAGCAACAGGAAAAGTCACAGGGCATCCAGGAGAAATCCTACTGATCTGTCAGTGGAAATGTGCAGACCGCAGTTACTTCTCCCAGCAATGATGTGTAACAGTACATACAGAGCGTTGCTAACCAAGCACACATATCCAGGCCTTGGTGTTTAGAGTTTGGGCTTGGTCACAAAGACATGTTTGACCACCCATGTGAGTGATCTTAGTCTTTACCCCTTCTAAAGGTCAAGAAGATGCCAAAGGCCTTGTTGCCCCGATAATTCACCTTTTTAGACTATCTGGTGTGTGTCCTAAGCCATCCAAGTAAACAAAGACCATTTTCTCAGGCACCATATTCCGAGTTTAGAGGTTACCTCCCAGCTGCTGAAGGCAAAGGTTGGGCAGGTTTAGTCCTTTGCTACATATATGTATACATAGATAAAATCACCCTGTTTGAAGTGGTTGTTTAAATACAAACAGCATAACATACATTCTGCACATTGCATCTTTTTATTTAATATATTTTGGCATGTCTTTCCAGGTTAGTACATAGATATCTATATCATTAATTTTAGTTCTGCAACATTCCATTAAATCATAATTTTATTAACACCCTTTGATAAGCTTTTAGGTTGTTTTCAATTTTCCACCATAACAACCAGTGCTTCACAGAATATTTTTATGTATTTTTGGATACTTGCCGAAGTATATCTTTAGGATAAATTCCCAGAAATTGAAATAATGGGTCAGAAGGTACATTATTTTACATTTTAATAGATACTGTAAAGTTGTCTTCCAAAATGTCAGATGGTAATTTAGACGCTCACAAAGATTGTATGGGAGTACCTGTTTTAGCATACCCTCATGACACTGAATGTTAGATGGTGAAAATCAGTTAAGTCACTTGTGTAAAACACAATTTTTCTTTCTTGAAAACTTTCAGGATTCAAAAGAAACCAGTATGTAGCTTTTTAATACAAAGCTATGTGTAGATTTTTGTTTTTAGAAAGTATATTAGTAATTTTAAAATGTCTTAATATTTGTGTAGCCCCATCTGAATACTGAATAATAATTGTATTATTTGGCCAATCATACTGAAATGTTTACTTTTGAAATCATGTAGAAGATGAATTTTCTCTAACGCCTAACAGATGGGGAGTAATTTGACAACTGCTTTTGTTGAAATCAATATTTAAAGTAGTATGTGTGTTACCCAGCAAGCAAATTGTGTATAAACAATGCTTTAGGAAGCAATAATATGTTATGAAAGTGGATGTATTTCTTTTGAAGACGTTACTCTCAGGTGTAAGGTCTTTTATAGCTTGGAAAGTGTTCTCCCCCATCCTGTAGCCATATAACAATCAATTTATCTGTCCTTTATCAATTAAATTTTCTCCCTGCAAAGAGTATTAGTTATTTGGAATAAGTTACATGGAAGATACTGCATAGCCAATTGATTTATACAGTATTTCTTAAAATGTAGCTTGAAATTTGTCTTTTCACGTATATATGAATTGCTTAGTCTTAGGCAGTTGTGTTAACTTGATATGTTGTGCTGTAATATATCTTTAGCTACTGTTTTCCAGTTATTAATATATTTTGTTTTTTCAAATACCTTAAATATGTTGGAGAGATCTTTACACTCTTCTATTTTTATTTTTATATTCTTATTCAGAGAATCTTGAGTACCGTCTGTAGTAGTACTTTACTCTACTGTTGGGATATAATTAATACTAGTTAGTGCCACATTACAAAATACAGCAAATATAGCAGCAGATAAAACATGACTGTTCTTATGAGCGTGTTGTTTTATTCCCACAAGAGCAGCACTTTAAAGAGTTAACTTATTTACTTAAATGGATTACATTTTCAGCTTAAATGTTGTTTTTTCTACACATTTTTATAGGCCCTGACTTTGTTGTTTGTGATGAAGGCCATATTCTGAAAAATGAAGCATCTGCTGTTTCAAAAGCTATGAATTCTATACGATCAAGGAGGAGGATTATTTTAACAGGAACACCACTTCAAAATAACCTAATTGAGTGTGAGTTAATATCTGCAGTTATGTTGTAGAGTTTTGGCATTGCCTCAGATATTATTTTTGCCACTTTGCCATTTGCCTTTCTTCTGTCTAGTATAGTCTCTGACCATGATCTACATAGGTCCATCTTAGTCTTCTATGAAAGAATACCATACATTTCAAGTGGAATGCTTTATAAATATGAATGGTAAACCATAGTCAAAAGGTGTACCATTTTGAATGTTCAAATATAAACATAGAATTTGAAATCTATAAAAATTATCAGATGTTAATGATGGCTTTAAAAGTACAAATGCATTGGTGACTATTCAGGAGATACTGTAACAAACTATAATTTAGGGAGAGGTACTATAGGAAATTGAAAAGAAATGCCAAGTGTGAATATTTTTAGGAATGTGGAGATGCGAAAAGGAGAGCTATGTCGAATCTGTGTCAGCATAGAATTTGTTCAGACTGAGGACAGATGATGTGAACCCAGGTGACTTGTGAATTTCTCTCATTTTCATGTGTGTGAGAATACTTGAGGGAACAGGAGTTATATTCAGCTAATAAACTGAAATTTCCTATTTATAATCCATTGCAATATTTTTTGTTATTTCCAGCCCTTTAGTAACTTAATTATTTTTTATTTTATTATTTGTAATACTGGTTATTACTTCATTGTAACCTATATTTTATCTTCATTTTTTATCTGTTCCAGATTCCCCCTTTTCTGTTACTTCATTTGTAGAAATGCTACTTCACATTGCAAAAACAATAAAACATTAGTTAGAAGAGCTTTATGATACAGTGAAGAAAGCAAACCAGTGGTGTTTGACAGTGAAATTCACAAAGAAGTATTTTTTTTACTCCCGTGGAACTTTGCTTTAAGTGATACTGCATGTAGAGTTCATTCCTAGTTCTTGATTGAACTGCACTTAATTCTCAATATTATCCATGACTTTATTTTTTAGTTTTTTTTTTTTTGAGAGAGAGATGACACAGTGATCGAGGGGCAGAGAGAGAGAAGTGGGGCTCGTGTGCACCTGAAGCAGGGCTTGTGCTCACACAATGTGGGACTCCAACTCATGACCTGAGCCAAAGTCAGATGCTGAACCGACTGAGCCACCCAGGCACCCATATTATTCATGACTTTTTAAGGGCTATGCTGTAATGAGAATATGTTCTGTCTTACTTTTAATATCTAATTATGTATTCTTAGAATTTTCTCAGAGAGTCCTTTGTATCCTGTAAATATCAATTTTGATGTAATAACTGCTAATTTATATTGAAATGGTGAAAAAATGCTATTTCACATTGTGATCTTATATTGTATAGGACAGCTGATAACTCTATTAAGAGCTTCTGGAACTAGAACAGTTACTACAAAATTTGATATAGTGGCTTATTACCTGATTTTATTATTTTGATTCAATATATATGTTTTTTCACTAGATACCCTTGCTGTCCATAAAATCATGGTTAGAATTACAGAATACTTGTTTCATACTCCATATCTATTATAAAGAACAGGGAAGTAGAATAAAATGTTCTTAGGTGTTTTTTTTAAACATTCATATCTAGAATATAGTGATGGTTTTATTTGAATTTCTCATCTGGTTTGGAAATCCAGTTCCAGAACTGACTTATAACCAATGTTTAGTCTATACTCAGTTTACTGTTTGTTCTTTGTAGCTTAATTCTAATGCTTCCATGGCATGTGTTTTTGACATGAACATTTTATCAGAAAGTTTATCTGAGTCCCTTTTAGCTATTATTGTCGTTAGTGAACTAATGTCTTCTCTCTTAGATCATTGCATGGTTAACTTTATCAAGGAAAATTTGCTGGGATCCATTAAGGAGTTCAGGAATCGATTTATAAATCCAATCCAAAATGGTCAGTGTGCAGATTCTACCATGGTAGATGTCAGAGTGATGAAAAAGCGTGCTCACATTCTCTATGAGATGTTAGCTGGATGTGTTCAGGTACAAATATGTTCCATATAATAAAATATCATTGCTTTGTTAGATTACAATCCCAAATGTTTTCTGAATTTAAACTTTGTTTTATGTTTTCTTTCCTCTTTTTTCAATATATAGTTTTATAGTTAAATCTCCTAGCATTGTCTTCAAAAGTTTTTGAAACATTGAACTTTCAAAAAAAGAGTTCCATTGTGAGGTTTAGAGCATACTTGATTAATTCGCCAAGTGTATAGCTTCATATTTTAATATGTTAATGTTTAGATTTCTCATCTTTAAGATAGGGAGTATGTAAAAGAAACACAGCTATTATGATTAAGAAATTCCTGTGCTCACCTTAATTTTATAGTATAGTGGCTTGAACCTCACTTATTTGAAATATTTGTAGGAAATGCAATTATGAATTGTGAGAGGGTCATTTTTAACAAAATCCTGAAGAAACAGTTTTATTAATTTGAAGTAATAAAATAACCTGAATGGGTTAGTTAGTACTGTTTACATACAGATATTTAGTGAGCCTCTATTGGTGAGTGAATAAGTATATAGAGTTTGAGCCAGCAGTTAGTAGATCTTAAGATCCGCACATTTTCTTCAGACACTAGATATTAATCATAGCCACAAAGATGTAACAAATCTTTAGAGATAGACTGTGCTTCTGGCTGGATATTCTTTTTTTTTTTTTTTTCCTGGCTGGATATTCTACCATCATATAAGGCAGTCGTTCTGTTTGTTCAGGCTAGCCACAGGTACTAGCAACTCCTCTGTTTCTGTATTGCTGCTGCTACCTAGGCAATGTTTTCCTGGTTTAGTAGTCACTTGTATCTAGCACATTCGTGTTTGTTATTTCTTGTTCTTATAATTAAATGGTTTCAAGGGTGTTTATACATGGCTTGCTTTCTCAAGTGGGTAAACAGTTCCCCTAAAGTTGTGTGTTATTCTCTGGTATATTGGCACATCTTACCCGAAGGACAACCCAGACTGCATCAGACTTTGATTCATTGTTTTTAGTGTATGATTAAAGCAAGTCTTTTTCTTAACACTGCCTACTATATCCCCTTCCCACGTTTTTTCTTTTTCTATATAGAGGAGACCATTTGAAAACATAAATTACTTGGTTGGTAATATGACCACTTCAATTTAAAACCTGCCTGGTGTGTTGCAGTCTCTTATTACCAATACATCATATTGTATAGTCATATGAAATATAATAATTACAATCATATGATGATCATTGTGTGATTAAAGAGGGTAAATACGTTTAAGAAAATGCTTTCTTGTATGTTTGGTACCTGTTTATGCATATCTTTTAGTTGCAAGCAATGATAATTCTTTGAACAGTCAATTCCTTTCATATATTTAGGTTAACTAATTTTCATTATCTTTCTTGTTAATTACAGAGGAAAGATTATACAGCGTTAACAAAGTTCTTGCCTCCAAAACATGAATATGTGTTAGCTGTGAGAATGACTCCTATTCAGTGCAAGCTCTATCAGTACTACTTAGATCACTTAACAGGTAACAAATATGCTTAGTTTATTTTTATATTTTCTCTAAAGACATTCTTTTTCTGAAGGATGTTGTTTTAGTAATTTTACCATGTCATTTGTTTTTTTTTTTCAATTGTGCATTTGAATCACATGGGTATGATTATTTTGTAAAAGCACAAATTATTTCTAATTTGAAAAACACTAAATTGTCAAAATAAACTAAGGAGCAAACTGGTGAAAAAAACATACACAGTATATTGAATAATGCTCTTAGCTTGTAATGAGCTTTATTTCAGGAAAATTATTAGTGAGTAATGTAAGAGAAAATATATAAAAGTCCAGTGTATTATTTAAAAAAATTGAACCACAATAATAAAAGGCAAAAAAAAGCAAAATTCAAGGCAGGACATATATTATGCTCCCAACATTATAATAAAAATATACACAAATGCCTAAAATACATGAAAATGCTTGACAGAAATTGTTTTTGGTTTTTTGGTTTTTTGGTGGTTTCATTAAGAGGATCTTTTAGATAAGAATACTTCTTATTCTTTTCTATGGGCTTTTAAAAAATACAATGGATAGGTATTAATGTTATCATCAGTAAGCTCATGTGTCTGTGTGTGTGTCCATGACTGTGTGCCCAGGGTTGTCGCTGTTCACAGAGCAAAACCTAGCCTCTGGTCTGAAGTGAGATTTCTTATTTCTTAGTCACTTCATTCTGGTAACTTTCACCAAGTGATACGTTAGGTTTATTTAGGCGATACAGGTTAGAAAGTACCCAGTAGCCATTGTGAATAAAATAATTGATCAAAAAAATAATAGAAGGTGGAAGTATGTACACACATATTAAAATGATGCTTTGTATCAGTAAAGGGATACTCTTCATATTAGCAGTGCATTTTCTTCTATTTTAATTTTTTAACAGCAGGGCATTTTAGAGAACAGAATAATGATGGTCCTCAAGCATTATTTTGCTTTGGGGAAAATAGGATTTGAATGTTAGTGTTTTACAGAAGTGCTTTTTTGCTGAATTTAACATTTATTCATTTTTGAGAGAGACAGAGCATGAGTGGGG